CCGGGATCACAACCTGAGCCAAAGGCAGATGCTCAACCACTGAGCCACCCCGGTGCCTCCCAAATATTACAATGTAAACACCTATATCTGTGTTTTTTCATGAAGGATCTTCTTCTTCAGGAATGAACCTTCAGGAGGCCCCTCCTTTTATGTCTCATCACACAATTGGTTATTCTAGAGTTTGCTAAAAAAGGATGGCGTCTGGCTGCCTGACACTTGGTTCGCTTTAAAATTAATATAAATTTTACTTTGACAAAAGTATTATCATTCAAGTTAAAATTTTGCTGACATGAAATAGCATCACTGTGATTTATGCTCAATTTCAAAGCAATGGGGGAAATGATGTATTTTAAGTACTGAGGTTTTCAGTCATATATAATTTCTCAGCCTCTAAGAAGGAAAAAAAATGATTACCAACTTCGCTCTTACACTGTGACTTCCTCAAGCATTTGAGAAAAAAGCCTTTTTTCTAAAAATATTTTAAAGCATGAACTCTACATCATTTTTGAAACCTTCAAATATGGTTTTTTATATAATGGAAAAGGCATGGGACACTTAGTATCATCAACATTATCCAACTTTTCCTGATATTACTAGTCATCTCTTCAGTAAAAGAAAGTCTCACTTAAACTTTACGATTTTATTTTCTTTAAGAATTCCTCTGTTAAGAAAATTGGTAAACCTGCTATCTCACACGCATTGAATTTTTATTTTTCAAGTCCGCCTAATGATTACGGCATCTCAAATTTTCGTGGAGTACCCAAATCTTATTTTAGAATCTTTTCTACCGTAGAGACTGTTGCTCTTAGGATCCATGTGCCCAAAATTATCTCTGACCATTTAATACAAAGCTTGCCAGGTCTACGTGATTTTGAAAACGACAAGCAAAGAAAAACAACAACTGTAATTTAACATAAAAAATAGACTTCACTGAAAAGTTCAGTTTGGAAAAATCACTGGCAATAAGACAGGGCATAAATTATTTCTAAGGAGAAAACTTATTTCTAGAGAAATCTGAAGTTCCGGGGAACCCACTTGGGGAAGATAGTGAGACTGTCGATTAGAAGTGAAGACAAATTTCAAAGTAAGAATGGTCGTCATTGTTCATAGTTCCTGATTAAATGTATATCAGTTCATACATTCTAATTATAAGGTGACGGAGGTTTTATGTGTTTCCATAGCGGTGGGCACAAGAAACTTCCTGAAAGATCACGTCTTTGTGCTTTTTATGTGTGTTTGGAAAAAATATTTTAGCACAGTCCAATGTGAAAATTTTTTTGCTTTCTAGATTTTAATGCCTCCATGTAAGTTTCTAAGAATTATGGATCATTTTCCCCCAAAATGTGATTTAATGTGTCCATTTTTCTCAGCACGAGTTCACGATTCAGTATGTATGCCCATTAGGCTATTCCAAGATCGGAAATCTGCTGGAAAGATGTTAAGTTTAAGATCTACAATTTCAGGGATCCCCGGGTGGCTCAGCGGTTGAGCACCTGCCTTCGGCCCAGGGCATGATCCTGGGGTCCTGGGATCAAGTCCCGCATCAGGCTCCCTGCGTGGAGCCTGCTTCTCCCTCTGCCTGTGTCTCTGCCTCTCTCTGTGTCTCTCGTGAATAAATAAATATTAAAAAGAAAAAAAAGATCTACGATTTCAAAAAGAAAACCAAGACGTAGAAATCAAACAAGAAGTTCACGTGCAGATTCAAGAAACCAGACAGGTGAGGTGAATCCTGGCATCAACAGAAAACCAGGCTTCACTACTGAACTCTGATCAGAGGGTGAGGCTACAGGAACCTGGTGTGTGACTGACACAACATGGTACAGTCTGAGCAGAGAACACGAAAACGTTCTGCAGTGCTAAGCAGGGCTCTTGTGGGCAATTAGATAGTTGTCACTTCACACGTACTTTCCTTTAAAGACCCATCACCCCAGCCCTAAGTACAGGCCTCTGTGGTCCAGAGGGACAGACTGCCTTCCCTCCACTGCGCCTGTGCACAGCGACCCCTCGGGATGGTTCTCCCGCCACCCTATCACTGCCACGCTCCTGCAGTGACTGGAGGTCTCTAGACACGGTGCACAGCACACACACAGCCCACGATCCTGCCGGGACCCAGGCATGCTGTTGGGCCAGGCTTCTGTTTCCTTCTCCCACTGATGCTGCAGTATTCTCAAAAGCAGGGCCAGGCAAGCCCCTCGCCCTCAATCCTGTGAAGATCCAGCCTAATGGTGACAAAAGGGGGTCCAGCCTCTGTATTCTGGTAATGCCACAAATAATACCTGATTACAGATGTTACAGTTTAAATTTTCTTTGTTTTAGGTTAAGGAAGAGAAAGGGCCCATTTTGAAAAGAAAAAAAAAAGTGAGTTGACACAACAGATTGTGACAGATTTATTACTATTTATCATGGTAAATATGTATGGAAGAAAACATGTAAATGTCGTTATCTAGTCATAATCACTCCAAAAGAAACCTTTTATTAGCCCCAGTTTCTTATTATTTGTCATGAAACTACTCTCACATACCGAAGCAAGTTTTAGGAAGTACCTCTTATCGGGTTTATATGCATGATTGTTTTTTGAGCTTAAAAAAGAATAATCATGGCAGAGGTCTAAAAAAAAAATGAAAATATGGGTCTATTGGGGTAAACGTGTTACAGTGACTACTGCGGACCCCCTCTTTAGATCAAATTAAAATACATATTTTGTGCAGTGGTAATGCATATGGACCTTGTTGTAAGTAATGAGCAAATCAATACGCACAACAAAGCTAATATAAACTAAGTTAAACTGTGATTAAAACAGAGCCGAGAGTTTTTTTCAAAGTAGTAACAATAAATAGACGGCTGGATTCTAAAATCAACCAAACTAAGTTACTCTTTTTGCTTAAGAAAGAAAAAACAAACAACAAAATGACAAGGACAAAATTTCCATTTCAATTGAATTTTCCTCCTTGTCTTTCAAAAAAACAGGCTCTAGTTAACAAAAATGTTGCTTAAGGACCATTAAAACATTCAGCCAGGATAAATTCTCTAAGAAGAGTAAATCCTGAACTGGCCACCAAAAGCCAAAAATTAAATACAAACTAAATTTCCAATTCCAGACCTACTGCGAAGAGAGGAAAGTCATCTTTGTATTTCTAAACATACGACAACATACCAACAACACACAAACTGTCTAAATAGCAAAGAAAAACCTGTATCAGTGAAATTTTCTACAGTGGCCACTCAGCTCTAGGGAAATACTTGAAAATTTACAATGAATTAGGAAAAATTACTGTTGACAATGATTAAGCAGATAGATAATATCTAATGCCACACCAAAGCACTCTTTGGAAATTGTGTAGCTTTCTGCATGATTTTAGCATTGGGAGGAAAAAAAACAAAGTTTACTGGACTCTGAGGCATAAATAAGGTTCTCCAGCTTTATGTTTCACATGGCTTTTATGGCACACAGCTCCTCCGTCATTTCAGAAGAGTCAAAGGTCCACTTATTGTACTTAGTACTGTCCATATTAGGTTCAGGCATGTTTAAAATGTAAACAGCTGTGAGGACTATATCATTTGAAGTTGTCATAAAAGCTATTAAAAGCTAAAGTTTCATCTACATTAAATCCACCACAAACTTCAAACTTCAAATATGCTGACAAAAACCCGAGGGGATATTAGTCAATTTCAATACAGCATAGAAATTTAAAGAATAAACCATTCAGTACATTTTTTAAGCGACTCACTGGTAGTCCAAAGTGACTACTTTATATGCCATTGGCAGTTTTATTTACACAATATTTTTCTATATTTATGGATAATTTTGTGATGCTTCTTCAACATTACCAAGTCTGTGATAATCAGCGTACAAAATTTTGCTTTTTTTTTTCCCCGATAATAAAGGCTCACTCTGATATATTCACTTAATAATTTTTTGGATGAGCTGAACTGAAATCAAGTCAAATACACAGGTGTTTGGGTTAATCTAATCTTAGCACATTTGCAAAACCTATTATTCTCCTAATTTATTAAAAACGAAGTAAAGCTAGTATGCAAGCATTGATTGGTGATAGATTTTCAGAAACCGAAATATCACTTTATTTTAGAGGAGAAGAACTTACAATAGGGCTCATTAGCATTCTTTTCAAATACTAGTGCCCTACAGGACACAGGATTAAATTAAACTAAATCAAAACTGTGTATCTCTACCTATATCCATCTCACAGGAAGGAAGGATGAAAGGAAGAAAGAAGAGAGGAACTCATATTTTTCTTCTACGTGAGGAGGAAACCACTAGGAAAAGACAGGCTCTGAACAAAATTAAATAAAACCATCCAGGAACTCAGATTTGAAAATATACGTAGGAATTGAAAATAGGGTATGGTTTATTTGGTTGTGATCTCAACCACCTTTTGCCACGGTGGGAGACTAGAGGGATCTCAGCAGCCGGAGTAGAGCTCCAGGTATGAAAAACACCCAGAATGCTCTTGGTTATAGCTGGATTCTTGTGGTTGTCACCTGGTATTCCAGACACAAATGGCTACTGATGCGGCTACCTTTGAAGCTTTTATTCAGTAACCTCTCTAGAAAATAGAGACATTCTCTCTGCACTCTGGGCTGAAACCCATGTAAATTTTTCCTAAATCCCCTCCACAAATCTCCTTTCGCATGCAAATCCATAAATCATCATAATACCGACAAAGAATTTAACCAACAGATGAAACTAATACTCATTCTCTTGAAAGCCCTGTACAGGTAAAACTCCTGGAACCTCAGGCACCTTTTCAAGGCTCTCTTCAGAGCTTAACCTGCTGAATAGCAACACAACCACCCAGTCTTCCAGGATCTGCAATTAATCACGCCAACGTGGGTCAGGTGGCCGGACGTGCAGGTCGCTTCTCCCTCATCCACATTCTAGATAAACATGCTGCTCTTGCCCCCCTCTCCCTCGCCTCGATCCGCAAAACAGACCACAGTGAACAATATACAAAGCAGGGGGAAAAAAAAGCAGTACTTACTGAAGATGGCAAACCTGGAGGAACTTTTCGAACTTTCTTTGTCTGCACCTCTGAAAGAAAACGAAGAGGCGGTGAGGTCCCCGCATGCCCAGTTTCCTAACTAACACAGATTAGACCACGAAGCCATTTAGATCAGACCAGATTTTCTTAAATCGTTACCTTAGCAAAATGTCAGCACCGCTATCGTATTTTATTCTGGCAGGCATCAAATTCTGCCTTTTTCATAAAAATCAAGATATTTAACTTTTTTTAAGCTATGATTTTTTTTTAAGTTGCCTTATATGGGCAGCCAAGAGAAAACAAGAAATAAGCATACACCAAAATAGTTCTCCTGCTACTAGAAGTTGTTAACATACCCATCCAATGTACTACTGGGGAGAGGTGGTCACGAGCCTGACATTTGAGCAAAATTTCATGGTTTTGGAGGGTGGGGTGAGGGTAGGGTGAGAAGGGTGGTATTGAAAGAGAGAGGAGGAAAGAAAAAGACTACTAATAATCACTCAGGCTTTCAAACAGAGGAATACCTTACCCATAGCACTACTGTGAAGAGGCCTCCTTCGGGGGTTATTGCTAGAATACTGGTAATACTGGGAGCCAGGTTTGGTGGGCGACAGGGTTCCTGGGGTGCCCATATCCATGTCACCTCCAAGGAGACTCTGCTAAAAGGTTGAAAAGGGAAAACAAACATAGAAGGTTAGTTTTTCACATTCGCCACCCCCCAACTGATTGTTAGTACTTAAACCAACGCAATAAACAAAACAGCATCTGCTAAGCAGCAACAATTACAACACAACCAAACAAAAAGATAAGCAGTCGAAGAAGCTAGCCCAAAGTTTGTGATTTTTTTTTTTTTGATTCTTGGCTTTTGATAGGAAGATAGAAGGTGATTCTCTTTAAACAGTATTTTCATCTTAAGACAACTCACATTTTAATTTTTTTAAGAAGAGGGCATTTATGTAAGACTCATGTTTCTGTTGATATTTTGTTTTGTTTTGGTCTTTCTTTCTTTCTTTCTTTGTTTCTTTCTTTCTTTCTTTCTTTCTTTCTTTCTTTCTCTCCTTCTTTTTCTTTCTTTCATCTACACTTAGGCTCCTATCTGAGAGCTCTCCATGCCCTTCCTTCACGAGAACCCAAGAAGAATCTGATTTTTTTCGGACGCACACAACTTCCCCCCGCTGCTCACACTGGGGGTGAGTGAGAACGCTCCACTCCACTGAGGACTCTGCTTCCATCCATCGGTACAGCATTATCCCCCACGGATTTACAAGCACCCACGGAAGCGAAAATGCCAGCGGAACCAAGGAGTAAATTCAAATCTCACACTAACTTTCAAAATCATAGACATAGTAGGCATTCCAAGCTAACAGGAGCAAATTAAAGGACATTAGAATGCCCTCTTGAGGACTACTGGAAGCTAAAACACATCCCCACCGATTAAACATTTACCTGAGCTCTAGAAAACTTCCGCAGATATCACTAACTTATCACAGGGTGATAAATTACTAAACTTTCGAAAATGAGGACACACGAAAGATTCTGTAATAATATCACATTTTCTAAAAACTACATAAAAACTTACCCATAATATATAAATCGCCTGATTATACTCTGCATTGAACACATTGTTCTTTTAATTAGTCTGATGTGCAAGAAAACAAGTGTAGATACTACCATTTATATTAAGAACAAATTTACTGTTTAATAAAGAAATTTTAAAATTAAGTACTAAAAATCTAACTTTATCGTTACTTGTAATCAACTTTTACTGACTGAACTAATTACTGTCCTTGATAAAGTACAGAATGTGTTTTCCCTAATCTAAATTCTAATCACCATGTCACTCACAACAGACTTAGGGATGCTTCACTAACACACTATTCACATGCAAAATACTCTAAATAGGCCAATTATGACTCTGCCCCTGTTCCCTGGTTAACCCGCTGAGAACTGAAAAATTTCACAAGGCAGTCACCAACTAAAACAAAGAGTCCTTGTTTTAAATTAAGACAGTCTTTTTGATTCCTAAATAGCTCAACAAAGTGGCATGTCTTCTAGTGAAAGCAGTTGGTCAAATATGACCCATAAGCTGGAAAATCAAAAATTCAAACCTCCCCTTTCCAGTGCCATATAGCTAAATATCATAAAGAGAACCTCTCTATTCCAAGGGATTTTTGTGAGTGCTGGATGAGTAATATATAAAGGACTAATCAGCTACTGACAAGCTTGCCTTGACTGGCTCCAGTATCAGACTTTTCCAAGGGATACATCACAAACGTTACTTTCAAATAACTTTAAGGATGAGATTTGAGGTTGGAGGCTCATTTTGAGCAAAAACTCAGTGCGAGTATCTTAATATTTGCCACATCAAGATCAGAGAAAGCCAGATTATTTACCAGATAAAAATCTAACATCCCATGCTCAATTACTGCCTCTTACGAACTCAAGAAAGATACAAAATGCTACCCAATGACAAACTAAAATATAGAGCTCTTTGTAATAGTTTTCTATAAATCAGGAATCCAACAGCTTAACATCAAATGATTTCTTTATCATTTTCTAAGTGGCATTCAACAATTTTAGAATCTCAACCTGAAATTTTGCTCTTGGTGAATCTTATTAAGAAAATCTGTATTTAAGCCCAAGTTGTCTTTGAAATTTCCATCAAAAAAGCTGTGAATGATTTAAATCACAACCTCCTCACAGTCTGGTAAATTTACAAATAAGCCTTCCTTTCATGAGAAGAGGAGTTTGAAGATGACATTATTGAAAACTTTGTATTTTAGACAGACATTATTCCTCTTTCTTCCTTTTTCTTTTTCTAAAATAATACAAAATATTCAAACAAGGACTGAGCAGATATGTTGAAATGCCTGCTTGTCTTCTTAATGAGCTTAACCATTGCTTAATTCTTGTTGGTCCTAGTGGCAAAGGTTTCCACTCCCAAGAAAGTAGATGCATTCAATGGGTCAGCATAAAAACAAACAGTTGGATAAAACTGTGTTTTAGTAGCATTCACAACAGAGCTGTGAAAAATGTAAAATGATAACTAGAAGATCGCTAACTGGCCGTGGCTGACCTTACTGTTGTTAATTTAAAAGAAAATCATTTCACGGGCCAGTTGTAAATAAATCATGCACCCAGCTCTTGCATGTGCAGCCCATGAACTCTGGACAGTGACAGAGGACTAGGACCAGATAGCACTTCCAAACATGTAGAGGCTCATGCTAAGCTTTTCTTTCTTTCTTTCTCTCTTTTACAAAGCACATTCCTGTTTCTTTCTTTCTAGACCTGTTTGTTCCTTTTTCTTTTTTCCCCTCAGACAATAGAATCATTCTTCTAAAGCAACAAAAATAAGCATTTCCTCATACTTAAGGGGGCCCTAATCACCCCCCTAGGGAAAATTAAGATAAAAATATATGTGTTCTTATTGTAGAGTATACTTGTAAAATGAACAATAACCATTTACTATTGTTTGGCCTTTACATCACACATTTAACTCTCTTTAGCAACGAGAAACAAACAAACACAAAAATCTCCACTGGCTAGAAAACCTGAGTTTACGAACTTAGAAAGTTAATGGCATTCAATTTACTAAGGTAAATTGAATATGGCACAAAATGGATAAGGCATTCATTTACATATGAATTCACCTGCACGAATATAGATACATATAAAGACAAATTTACACTTGATAAAAGTTGTTCGAAAGCTAAAATCTACTTTCAAAATGGGCCAGTTCGTCTTCACCTTAAATAAGATTATAAAGGTTTCAGGGTTTTCACATTGTGCAAGCTCATGCCTGCGGTTATGCTGGGTCCCAGTACAGGGCTGCCGGGGTCCGCCAGGAAACACTGGAAGCAAGATGTGGCATCTCGCAGAGCTAACCTGTAAATCTTAAACCCATAGTTTAGCATTTTGTTTAACTGTCTGAGTGTGATGAGATGAGCCCTTCCCCTTCTTCACTCTTTATTTTCTTCCAAAGACAAACAATTTTAAGACTTGAAATGCCCTAACCAAAAAAATTAGAATATGCTGACTTTGTTAACTGGGTTTAAATATATTGGGGTCCTACCACCAATCCTTCAGCAGAAAGCCAGTCCCACCAGAGCCCCTCAAGTGCCAAATGCGGCATTCTCGCTGAGGGTCCCTTTCCACTAAATTTTTTTGTTTGTTTTACATCAGATCTGGGTCTCAACCCTGCCCCAATTCCTTCTGGGGGGAAGCTTTTTAACATCCTTGATCAACCACTGAACTTTGCTTATGCAACCAAGAATGCAAACCATGAATTAAACTTGAGTAACAGAATAGCAGCATATATCTCAAATTAGATTTATAACTGAATGGTAATCAAAAATAGAACTCACTGCTTCGAGCTTAAATTATCAACTTTTTTCTTGTTAATCTAAAATCATCTTGCTCTGAACGATTATTTCATTTCAGTCAGCACTTTAAATGTAATGGGTGGGTGGTACATTTCTACAAAGGAAGATTATATTTACTCTTAATTATAGATATGAGTGAGATCAGAGTACGATGAATGCTGCTTTTTGGCTTATAATTAATTCATCTAATAGGTGAATGACCTTGAATTTCAGAGTTGGAATCTGGGGGAGGGGAGAGAGAGAAAAGAAGTAGGAGAAAAAAAATCATCTCTGGGGAAAAAGCAAATGTGCCCCTGGTTTCTTAGAGCTTTCTCTGCTTTTGCGTCACACTCCCATTACGTTGTGATCCGATATCAGACACAACATCTTGGGGGGATGTTGTAGAACAGAGAAAAGCAGTCTCAGATGAAACCAGATTAAGCTCCTTTTCTGAACTATTGCCAAATGCTTGTGAGTCTAATTCATGTTTGGGTATTCTAGTACTCACACAGCTGCAATTCCATTCTTTCATCACAAACCTAAGTGATGTATAGTGGCTTTGTATGGCGAACTGACTCTATAAAGCCAGGAATTTTGGAAGGCTTTACGTTAATATGGAAATAAAATTCTGAACCACTATAAAACTTATGAATGCTGGATATTTGTATGGGTACCTAATAGACTTTGCAGTACTAAGTGCAAAATACACATCGAGCAAAATTGCCAATTATATTGGTTTAAAACACTTTTTTTTCTTTTCTTTTTTTTACAGAAATCGCAATTGAGGTCATTTCTACATAGTGAATTCTGCACAGAATTGGGTTTTCAAAGACACTGCTGAATAAGATTCCTAACAGCCATGGGGAAGTTTTTGCAAATCCCTGTCGAATAGCTGCTGCTGAATTTGCCATTTTGACCACAGAAGGGCCATTGCTGACTTACTATAGTAGCAGGAGGGGGCGATAATTTTGCTGCTGTTGGCACTTACTCTGCAACCCAGAATATATCTCACACCAAAGGGCAATGAAGAACACAATATTTCCACCTGTCCACTTTTGAACTTCAAAGCTCAAAACTGAAGGTCAGTCTTTGGACAGTCTCTATTCCCGATAGCCGAAGGTCTGGGAATGCACCTTTACAGTTTATTTTAAGTTCTGTCTTATGCTTGGTTTCAACAAAAGAGAACTCTGGAAACTCAGATAAGATGCAGGGATAACTTTTATAATCAGAGACTTAACAGATTGTCATCGTGCTGCAGAGAAATGTTAATTATTGAAATTACCATTTAGCAAAGAATT